TTTGTATTTTTATGGACCGGTCCACAGGGTGTTCAGAGTCTCACTACTATATCGGACTCATAGTGATCCACCTGTTTACAGCCTCCCAAGAGCTGTACAGGTGTGCACCACCACACCCAGTCTCAAATGCAGTCTCAGTGTGCCCGCAGGGGCGGAGCCCCACATGGCAGGCCTCTGTACCTGGCACTTTAATCTTCTGAGCTATGTGGCCGGCCCTCATCCTATTAAGAAAAAGAATAAATTTAATTCAGTGAAAAAGGAGGAAAGGGCATGGAGGAGGGGCCAGGGAGATGGCTGAGTAGGGGCCAGGGAGATGGCTCAGTGGGATAAGCGCTTCCCTGACAAGCACAAGGGCCTGAGTTCAATCCCCGGTTCCACCAAAAATAAATAAATAAATAAAAATAAAAAATAAAGGGCTTGGAGGGCCCAGGGAGGTGGCTCAGAATAAGCGCTTGCTGAGTTCAGGGTCTTGAGTTCAATCCCTGGTACTGCAAAAAATAAACAAATAAATGGAATTCTTGCACTGTACAAGAAGCTTGGAAAATTTCCATTTTGAATGTAAATTTATTTAAAAGGAAATCAATATAAGACCTAAACAAGTCACAAAATAAAATGCTGAGTAGTAAGATAAATCACTTGAGGAATTAATCATACTAAGTTAAAAATGGCATTTGAAGTATGTAATTATTTCACACTCCTGACCTAATCTGGAGCTTCAAATAAAGACAAAAGCAAAAGAAGACAAACTTTTCAAAAGCAACTGTGTTGAGGCTGCTTGACTTTTACCTGTGACAAACAAAGAGTATTACCTGAGCCAAGATGAATGGCAAAATATTAGCTAAAGCATTTTATATCTACTAAACCTACAAATGTGGTACAACAGAAACGAATACCAGGGGTCCTTACACTTACTTCAAATACTCGCTGAAGATTAAGAAATATAACTTAAACACAGATTGATTGATTGATTGACTGATTGATTGATTTTTGCAGACCAGGGATCCAACTTGGGACCTTGTGCTTGCAAGGCAGGCACTTATGCCACTGAGCTATCTCCTTGGCCTATAACACAGCTATTTTTGGAGCAAATTTTAAATTTGTCAGTATTCTTTAAGACTCTAAATCAAAGGCATAAAAATAATAAATAAATAAATAAATCGAAGGCACTTCTTTTCTGTTAAGAGCCAGAAAATAAATACTTTGGGGCTTGGAGACCAAGAAATAAGGCCAAGGATTTATATTAGTGCTTATATAACAACAAAAAACAATTTATGTTGTTCTGTTGATGAAATTCAAAATACAGTAATAGTTCTATTTAATTTTTGATAGCATATATCTATTAATGAAAGAATGGAATTTCAGGGGAGGGACAACACTTAGCATTATTGATAGATAACCTTCCTTATCCCAAACTGATTATGAATGAGCCTGTGCACAACTATTCCCAGTTCCTGGGCCACACAAATCACTCCTGCAGGCCACATTTACTTTGCCATTCCTAGCTCTAAGTATTAAAGGTATCTGAAAAATAAAATCACTAACACCATGAACGTCTTAATTAAGAGTGGACTTTTGAGTATCTATAATCACTATCTGAATATTAAAATCTTCAAACTTGGTAATATAAAACGCCTGATCTTAGCTGAGCTAGGGACTCATGCCTGTACTGACAGCACTGAGGGAGATGGAGGAAGGGGACTCACAAGTTCACCCCAGCCTGCACAACTTGGTGAGTTACCAAGACCTTGTCTCAAAGAATGAGATTTATCTCCCTGGAAAAGCCCTAGGCTCAATCCCCAGTACAACAAAATCATATAAAATAATACAATATAAAATGAAGTGAGGTAAAACAAAATAAAATAAAAAGCCTAGTTTTTTCACAATTATTTCTAAAAAGTAACTTGTCCTTTCTTGACTCAAGATAAAGATTATAAACAAAGATTACTAAATGCAAATAAGAAATTTAATCTTCTTTAAATTTTTACAGTCTAAGAATTCAAATAACACAGATGTAAAAATACAAAAATATATTTACCAGAAACTAGGAAAACAGAAAGGAGGAAAGACAAGGGAAGAAAAGAAAAATACACACACACATACAGAAACTTGGGTAACAAAACAACCAGTTTTAAATCACTGAGGGCAGGGCCGGGGAGATGGCTCAGTAGAGTAAGCCCCCCCTCCTCCAAGAAAAAAAAAAAAAAGAAAAAAATGGCACCTTTTTATTTGCTTGTTGTATACATTTTCAAGAGTCCAAAGCACTTGATTAAGAGTAATACCTTTTAAGCACAATGTTTCTGGGAGAATGTGAAAAGTCCACTGGCTTTACTCTACAATTCTGGATCTCCACACTGCAAGCAAACATTTTATTTTGCATCTCATTCGTCACAGCAATTTCAACAATCATACAATGTGAACACGCAGTATTGTGGGCCCACGATGAGACTGTTTAAGAAATGTCCATTCCCTAACTAGTTGACGTAAAGAACCTCACTTTACTTTAGAACCCAAATGTTTTTTAAAAAAGTTAAATATTTATTTCCTTACTACACTTGGTAAGTAGTACCACAAATTTTCACATAATTCAATAGATATTCACATAAAATTTCAAAGCCCTGCTTTTACCTCAATTTCTAAAACTTTAAATAAAGTGATTCAAATTTCTAACGTCAAATTATTTTCTTGTTTACTAACACTGCAGTAAGAATCTTAGTATAATGTGAAAGCTTAAAACTGGGACTTAAGAGTCTTGGGTTTCTGTCTCAATTTTGCAACACTTTTAACTAGTAGATTGCCAAATCTCAACCTCTCTATTGCTCATTTCCTGCCATATTTTCTATTTATATTGCCTCTAATCCTTACATTTTAGAAGATAGGCATTATTCTACTTATTGCAACCTGAGCTTCTGAGAAATTTCACTGGTTCTGCAAGATTCTGGCTGAGCCCGAATGTGAGTGGGTCTGCACCACATTAGGAGTCCACATACGCTCTTTGCATTATGCCACCTGGCTCATGTCCTGATATAACATGATCTTTTTTAGTTGGAGAATGGTAAATACAAGCCAAGCATGCAAAATTTTGGGGATGCAAACTGGTTCAGATTCAGACTTTGAAATATTTTCATAAACTTCACCAATTGGGCATCCCTAATCTGAAAATCTGAAACCCAAAGCACTCCAAACTCACAAATTTTTTAAGTGACTAACACTCAAAAGTGAAACCTCAAAAGTTTTCGATCTTGGAGCACTTTGGAGTACATGTGCAGGACTAGGAGGAAAAAAAAAAAAAAAAAAAACACCATGAAAAAACTCACCACGACGCTCTGTGTGGTCAATGACCCTGTAAAGTTTAAAAATTCAGGAGAAAAAATAACAGCGAATGTGGAGCATAATTACTAATAAACGCAGCCTAAAAGGAAAACCAGCAGGGAAGCTTCCAGCAAACTCTAACTTATATCAGGCCCTCAAACATCTAAGCAGCTCAAAATGAAAGGCACTGTACACACTTCCGTGGCACATCCTAATCTGCTAACAGGACTCCACTACATCGGCGCTTCATGCGTGTCCTGGGTCAAAGCCCACATAGATAATGACACGATAATCCACTGTGCCCCTTTCCGTCGTACGTCCTAATCGGCGCCTGCTAACAGGACCCCACTACATCGACACTTCATGCGTGTCCTGGGACAAAGCCCACATAGATAATGACACGATAATCCACTGTGCACACTTCCGTCGTATGTCCTAATCTGCGCCTGCTAACAGGACTCCACTACATCGACGCTTCATGCGTGTCCTGGGACAAAGCCCACATAGCTAATGACACGATAATGCACTGTGCACACTTCTGTCGTACGTCCTAATCTGCGCCTGCTAACAGGACTCCACTACATCGACGCTTATGCGTGTCCTGGGACAAAGCCCACATAGATGACACCGTAATCCCGTCGATTCCTTCCTACTTACATCTTCATACAGCTGTTTCTTCTTACTGCTTTTTCATCTCGATGGATGACCGCTAAAACCGGGACTACTACAAACGGCCCCCTCATTACGCTCTCCACCCACTTGCTACGCCATTCGCTCCCGCAACCCCCAACCCTCGAGCGGGAGCAGCGCGGGGCGCAGACCCGGGCCGCCCGCGGGAGGAGGAGGACGCAGCCCGCCACCGCCACCGCAGCCGGGGACCGCTCGCCGCTCACCTCGACCTCGCGGATGTTGTTGGAGGTGACGAAGATGCCGATGCCGATGGGGATGAAAATGAGGCCGACGACGAAGAACGTCGGCAGCACGGTGCCAGCCGTGAGGATGGGCTGCCAGGCGGGCAGCCGCTGCTGCTTGAAGGCCGTGTTGTCCGGCCTCCGCGTCTTCGCGGCGCCCCCCGGCGCGCACGGGGGCCCGCCATCCACCTCGTCCTTGGCGTTGCAGTTCATCGCCATCGGACCCGGGCGCGGCTCTACAGGCTCGGATGTCCTGGCCAGGGAACCCGCCCCCCAAACCTGAAGAGACTCGGGCAGGGGCCGCCGCCACCGGCGAGGCGGAAGGGGCGGGACATGGGCGACCGGAAGCGGCGGTCGACTGACGGCTCTCGAGGGGCGGGAGACCGGAAGGAGCGCGAGGAGGCGGGACTACGGGAGGAGAAAGGGGAGGGAAGAGGGAAGGCGGGTGCGCGTCCTCGCCCAGAAACGAGGCGTCGTCTCGGCGCGTGCGTAGTAGACGGCGGCGCGCTGGAGACTGCGCGTGCGCGCGCCCGTCGGGCGCTTGTTGTCAGGGCAACGGCGGGTCAAGGCGGCAGGTGACCCACCCACTTGGTCTGCCCTGCGGTTGTTAGCGAGGGCGGTGAGGATTTTGAAACAAAATCGCATCGTTTCAAAGGCCATCCCTAGAGATCCCGGTCCAGTGCGCTCGGCACAAATGCAAACGAGATGAGTGACATCTGCTCTGCAAGAAGAAATCGGTGTGGTTTGCCTCTCCTTGAGAGATCCTCTGTACTTTGCGTTCATGTTCAACATGTTACTTCTCACGTTGACGCAGGATGTCCTTCTGGTTTTCGCTTTTGTTTTTGTTTTGTTTGCGGAACCGGGGAGTGAACTCAGGCCTTGCGCTTGCCAGGCTGAGGCTGGGGGGGGGGTATTGATAATTTCTATAATGCAGCCATATGTAAAATGATACAGTGCATCTCAAAACATCAAAGCAAATGCTCATGGTATTAAAGTGGATACGAAAGTAGTGCGGAGATGGAAAGTACAGCCCAATTAAAATATGATGGTAACCTCCCTTAACCGGAGAATTTATTTGTGATTCTTTAAAGTTTTCTGTATTTCCAAATTTTTACCAGTAAGCATGTATTTGTTACATTTAAAATTTATTCAGTCTACATTATCACAGTCTGAAATCCAGACCAGAGAGTAAATCACATCATCTAAAAGCAAACGCCCAGACTATATTTTTTAGACTTTGTGTACCATTGTGCTTTCTGGGAGGTACGCCTAATTAAGAGAAACTGAAGAGTGTTTGGTTCTCATAAATTACAATTACTTTTTCAAAATCATCACTGTCCCAAGCATATAAGTCAATTGTTATTCCGCTGTTTAGGGGAATACAGTAGTTGGTGATTTCTAATTGCTGATCTTTTTAGTTTTAGTATTACATGATATTTATTGTCTCTCAAACTCTTAGCAGGACTAAGAAATTAGGTTTGCATTTTCCTTTGGCTAATGGAAGTTTGCCTGCAACCTTAGGTGAAAAGAAAACAGTCGAGCACAGCTAACTGAGAAGGCATGGAGTCCTTTTCACTTGCTAAGATCTATTTCTTAGCAGAAATGTGTATGATACTGTCGAGCATGATCCAAAAGCGTATTCCCCTCCCCCGTGCTACCTGCGTCATCACACTCACTGACTATAATAGTTCCTTAACTGATTTTCAAGTGGAGTGTTCTGTACAAATGGTCACTTGCAGTTAACCCTCCTTGCCCGTGAATACTGCAGCAACAGATTCAAACCGGTTCTGGATCAAAGGTATTCAGGAAAAAATTATATCTTCCATTTTCTTTAGTTCGTTTACAGAAAATAATAAGCACTTGTCTCTTTTTTAGGAATTATATTTGCCTGAACGTGGCCTTGTAGGAACAGAACTCTTATATTCCTGTATAAAACTTACATTGTCCTTTCAGGTCCAAATGGGTGCATATCTCATGATGCAGCGGCCCCTCGCTTATCACGGAGGTTACGTTCCAGGCCCCCCCCCCCATAAGTGAAAATCAGCGAAGTGTGACCCTATTTTTTTTAGTATTTATATATACTTTAAGGCTTTAAAACCCTGCCCACTTTTATAAACCTTTCCCACACTTATACAACTAATGCTCTTAACCATTTTCTCAACTCGTAAACCAGCGTAATTTTAACAGCATACTTACAATGTGTGGTACTGCAAAATTCCGCAATATGGCGAAGAAGCTGAGACAATTTAGGTTAATATTTTTTGAAGACTCACATAACAGTGATCTAGGAAAGTCGAACCGCAAAATAGTGAGGGACTATTGTATTCTCCAGTCCCTTTCCATAATATACATTTTTTTTTAAATTTAGTATAGGATCTACAGGCTCTCACTACGTAGATCGGATTTGTAGTGATCTTCCTGTTTTCAGCCTCCCAAATGCTGGGATTACGGGCATGCACCACCATGCCCAATCTCAATCGCCGGTTCGGCACACTCCAGGGAGCGCCACCCGCAGGGCAGGCCCGGGATTGAACCCTCCCTCCTCAGTCTCCACCTATCGCGCATCTGCCTAAGCAGGCACTCACAGTATGCTTCTTTACTCAGGTGACATTTTTTTTTTCACCTCCACATCGTTATCTCAGAATTTTATGTGTTTAGGCTGGGGAGCTAGCTCTGCGATCTAAGTGCCTGGCAAGTGCAGGGTCCCAAGTCTGATCACAGTATCAACAACAAAAAGTTAAAAAAAGAATTTTATGTTCTCCTTGGTGATACATTGTTTTATTATAGACTATAGTAGGTATTTTTTCAATAATCTGCAGAAGTAGGATTTTTTAAAAGATAAAGTTGTTTGACATTTATTGAACAATAAAAGAATAGTTCTTATAATGGATTGTCAGTATGTGGTTTTTTTTTTTTTTGCTTCCAATACTGGGAATTGAACTCAGGGAGCACTGAATTAAATCTCACCCCACCTGGCTTTTAGAATGTGAGTCAGGGTCTCGCTAAGGTGCCCATGTTGGCTTTGAACTTGCAGTGCTCTTTCTTCAGCCTTCTGTGTACTTGAGATTACAGGCATGCACCCTGCTCCCAGTTATATATCTGTAGTACATTGGCAAACTGGTGTCTCAGAGTGAGTAGATGTTTGTGTTGGTATACTTACATGTCACTTGCATTGTTTAGATCATGTTCACCTGCTGATACCTGGTAGAGGTAGAATTTATATGGCCAAATAATATGAATTCTGATTATCAAATTGGCATAAGTGTGCAGTGAATACATGCACACAGATGTAAAGCCAAAGTGATAGAACAGATAGAGAAGGATTTTTGTTTCTCCCAATGCCTTCTGGGCAGGTTTGGCCGGCTTGAGTTGTGGGGATCAAACCACAGCAACCTGAGCCTGACTGCTTTGTTGAAGCAGCCACTTAAAGAACTGAGCTAAGGGGCAGGCCCCCCGATAGAACAGATACAAACCCAACAAGCTGAAAAGGTGAAGATTTTCTCTTTTGGAGGGAGGGGAAGTTTGACGCAATTTTCATCTGTGTTCAATTGCTGTGTTATGCTGCTAAGTGAGACAAATAGAAAAAATAAAGAATAATTTGTGTACTTTCAAGAATGAAAAAAACAAACAAACAACTAAAACCAGTCTCTCTTTTATTACTTGAGCAAAGTGCCATAAAGAGTGTTGGGCTAGGCTCCTCTGATGCGTGTGCTGCTTTCCCTCAACCCTTAATCACAGGCCATTTCACGCATGTCTGTAACTGAAATTAAAGGGAGTTGGGAAGTGAGTCGTGCTTCTTATAGCATGAGTTTCAAAGTTTTTCCTAATTGGAAATGGTCTGAATTATTTTCAGTAATGTTTTGCTTTTCTCTCCCATAGTTAACAATGGCAACTTAGAGAATTTTGATAGGGTTACGTGATTTTAATTCTAATTGTCTCCCAAGACTTTTAGGAGAAAGAATAATGTAGAATTTGTAGAAAATAATTTCCTATAGGAACTGCATGAGATTGATCCTAACTAATATTTAAAATTTATTTTTAAAAATTAGCCTGCTTTTGTTCTTTTCAAGTAGCACATCTGTTGAGCTCTTTCAGTACATTTAGTAAACCTTTTGTTCTTATACTGGAAAATTATCTGATTAAGCGGAGGTCATTGCTGGGTAATGAAATATTCTGAACATTTGTCAATGACCAGACTATACTCAGAAATACCAAGCAAGATAGCTTAATGGTTAGTGTTGTTAGAGGAAATAACAATGACACCGGAATTTCTTAGTAGCCCAAGAACTTTCTTTCAGAAAGGAAATAACGGCTAATTCCTCATGATTCCACACTTTCTTTAAATGGAGGAACATAATTCTAATGAGGCCTCAAATTTCATGATTCCTTTTCGTAGAAACTCAGTTAATTACATCCCAGGGATATATATTTTTTCAATATGTGCCACCAAGTATAGATAAGGTCTTATTTTCAAATATGCTCTTACATGTAGATTGATAGCCAGCTGACATTTTTAACATGTATAATAGAGAAATTAATTTTTAAAAAGCACATTAGAGAAGGGATATAGCTTATTTCAAGAGAATCATCAGGAGATACAGGAAAGTGAATTTTTAAAAACATGTACTTTGTGCCCAGGCATGGTGGTACACAGCTATAATCCCAACACTTGGGAGACTGAGCCAAGAGGATCAGTGCTAGTTTGAGGCCTGCCTGGGCCACATAGTAAGGTCAAGGCCAGCCTGAATCATAAAGGGATCCTATCTCAAAAATTAAAAAAAAAAAACATGTACTTTTATGTCATATGTTTGAACCATTTTTGGACTTATTTTTCAGTTTTTCCAAGTTTTAAATTATTGGTGGTCCTGGGAAAGGAAGGCATGTTTCATCTTGATTTATTTCTTTGATACACTTGAGTTACGACTACTGATTAAATTTTTTGTTGCTTTAAAACAAGTTCAGTCATGCTCACTTTGGTAGCACACATACTAAAATAACTCTGGTGTTTACTTGCAAGATAACCTATGCAAAATGATCTGAAAATACAAGTTGACTTTCTTGAGCCTCAGAAGTGGAACACTTTCTTGAATCCATGGCAGTAAGTAGGGGTGACATAAAAGGCCACCGGCTGTGCTCTGACCAGGACACTGTGAGGCACACATGGAGTCCAACAAGCCATTCCACAGCACCACTGAGTTCTGGGGCAGGGGTGCCCATCAGCGCTGCAT